TAAGGAGAAGGAAGGCTGCCCAGAGGGATTCTCGGCAGTGTGGGGGCAAAGGGGTGTGTGACACGAGGTGAAGAGCGGAGGGCCAGATGGCTTCTCCGCATGGCCTGATGCCGCAAGGGAGGGCCCCTTAGCGGTGGCTTGGGAGCCCAGGGCAGTGGGGGGAGGGTCTGCAGAACAGCCTTGCTGCGCCCCCCCCACCCCCACGGACCACACCCCGGAGCCTCCCTAGCCCCGCCCCCACAAACCCCTCAAGTTCACTCGTGAAGTGAGCTAGGCTTTCTGCCCCCGCTTGCCAGGCTGGTCCAGCCCCTGCCTCTTGCGATGGCTGGAAACCTTCGCCTCATTGCTACTCTGAGCTTACGGATGGCCAGTGTCCTTGTGCTACCATTGGCTCTGAGCTTCAGCGACTCCGCCTCCTCCCCGGGTCTACCCCTCGGCATCTAGAGCGCCTCAGCCTTGGCTCTGCTAGGCTACGCAAGCCAAGCACCCCCTCCCCCGCCCATTCCGGGGCCCTTCGCTCTGCAGCCTGGGACCCTGCAATTGCCCAAAGGCGAGTCTGGCGAAGTCTGAGCATGCCCCGCTTTGTTCACCGATCCTTATGGGCCAGGTTTCTAACCCTTCCTTGGTCCCGTGGGCTCTCTGCAGTCCACCCAGCCTAGTGGCCCCCACGTCTTCCACACCACTGCGGTGACTCGCTGCTCCACCGGGAGGAGAAGCAGAGGCAAACGTCCAAAAACCCCCAATTGCTGGCAGAGCAGAGAGCTGCAGAACACTGCCAGAGCACGGTGGGCTCCAAGAGACGCCTTAACCGTGGGGAGCGCAGCTGGGCAGCTAGTGCCAAGCGCATCGTGGCAGACAAGGACCCAGAGACTCCTTAATCAACGGTGGCAGCCAACTTTTCCCCTCCCGGGCTCGAAGCCCGGCTCCCCTCTCGCTCCCTCTGGCTCGGGGGGGGGGTCCCGGGGCGCCCTCCTCTCACACAGCAGGTTTGCATCAGGTCCCTGTGGTCTCTCACTGGCTGGCCACACAGACCACGTCTCTGTTCGTGGGTTCAGGGCCTTCGTGGGCGACCCTGGCAGGGTCCGTTTTCACGTCAGCCTTTTGATCAGATCCCCTTCCAGCACTGGCTGGCCACGCTGCAAGCCCTGCCCCTCTGCCCAGGCCCTGCAAAGAGGCAGGAAGTGAGGGGAGGGGGAAAAGCTACTTACTGCAAACCTGCTGAGGATGTACGCCCCAGCGCCAACGCCAATCCCAACGATGCTCCTCAGGCTGAAACAGACACAGTCAGAAAAGACACTCACTCCCGCTCCGGATCCCTGCCCCAGCCAGGCCTCACAGCAGCTCGCCTGCGCTGAAGGCTTGTCCCTGCAGTGAGGCA